GACTATTACTAATAGTCCCCTAGTAGCGTAGCCAATCAAAATACAGGATTTGCATTAGTCCACTAGTTGGGTGATACTAATACCTCTATAGACCTGGCTGCCTGCCCTGTTGAACTCTCTAGTTATTTCAGGTAGCCAGATTTCTATATACAACTTTCCCAAACTCATTAATAATTCATCAAGTTAAAACAAAGAAAATCACTCTGAAGGAGGTTCGGATACCCGGTTTTAATTAGCATGGATTTTTGACGATTTTACTTCTCCTTTCCGTTTACTCCTTAGTTTTTGTTTCGATTGAGAAGATATATCAAACACTCGAGACACTGTTTCATCGGTTATCCAAACACCGAATTTCGTCAAAAATACTGCGCTGCGCGTCGTATTTGCAACTCTCTTAGACTCGGTGTTCAGATATCCCGATGAAACACTGTCTTTCGTGTTTTATATATTACTTGTAAAATATTTCTGTGAGACCAAGAGGTAACAAAGCTTGTTGATGTTGTTTTAATTTGCGTTCCACAGACCATTCCCAAAAGGCCCTGAGCGAAAGCAAGCGTGTCTTGAAGCATTAAGTAAGATCCAGGCCCAGGAGGGCGTTTACCTTCCAAGCAACCCGGAGGCCCTGGTGCTGAGTATTGATTATAACTCAGGAACTCCCATGCAGAGTGCAGCCAAGGCACCATTCCTCGCGCGGTTTAAAGTTAAACACTGTGGCATTCAAGAAATGGAGAACATGAACACTTCCGAGGGTAAAAACTTTGAGCTGTGATGTCAATACGCAAATTCTCACAACCTATTTATATGCCTTTCTTATAATAACAGTTCGAAGAATATGATTTTTCTTTTGCCCATTTTTGGAGGACAAAAAGGGTTTTAAAAAAGTGCATAATTGCAAACCTTTTCTTGACATTCCGCAGGTTTTTCGTCTTCAGACAGTGAAGGTGAAGAAGACAAAGCAAAGATCTATTGGCAAGCCGCCATATTCAAAGTTGGTGATGACGTAAGACAGGTAAAAATCCCCACCTCACCCCCATTTTCAAATGACACTCGTTTCCAATTCCTTCGCTAACTAGCGTCTCTTGCTCGGATTTTAGGATATGCTGGCCTTGCAAGTGATCTCGCTGTTTAAAAACATCTTCGAACAAGTTGGATTGGATGTTTATCTCAAGCCTTATCGAGTTGTGGCGACTGCGCCAGGGGTAAGTTAACAACGAACAACGTAATTTATGGTGTACTTAAGTGCAGAACTCCTGTGGAGCTTATCCAAACTAATGATCTCGTTGCATTTTAGAACGGCGTTATTGAATGCGTACCCGATTCCAAATCACGGGACCAACTTGGCCGTCAAACCGAGGTGGACTTGTACGAGTATTACCAGAAGACGTACGGTGATGAAAGCTCCTCAGCTTTTCAACAGGTATGGATATGGGAAATTTACCAACAAACTAATACGTCTGCCATGTGCAAAAACAAACACACGTTACACAGGAAAAGAGTCCGCATTATAGTATGTATATGTTGGTTTACCTTGACAAGCCAGTGCGATGGCAAGTTTAGAAACAGAACCGCGCATTATGAGTGCATGAGCTTTGTGACAATGCCTAGACTAAACATTTACCGAGGAATTGCAGACAGTGTGTGCGAAAACCTTTGCTAAAGTAATGTACGGTACGCCGGAGTTGTTGCTTAAGTTTTTGCTTACTTGTTTTAGCTCACACGTTGTTGTATAACAGACCTTTTGACTCAGTTATCTTCTTCGGTTTTCCACTCTTTTCAGCCAATCAGAAGCAACCTTTTATCAAGCTGTCAAATTAGCTACTCCCCCATTCCCCCATAAACTAATTCACCGTAGTCTTTCCTTCAGTCTGATGTCCTCATTGCTTCTGATTTCCGTTTGGCTGTTTTCAGGCTCGAGCCAACTTTATTAAAAGTATGGCTGCTTACTCCATTGTGAGCTTCTTGCTACAGATAAAAGACAGACATAATGGGAACCTAATGCTCAACAGAGCCGGACATATAATACACATAGGTATGCTAAAAGAGTTACTTCCTTCCTAATCTATAGATCTCAATCTTTTCAAGCCGTAATCTCTCCCGAGTCCGGGTTAAACCTCGTTCCCAGAGTCTCTCGCTACAGCGGGCGGGAAGAAAAGAGACACGGGAACGAGGTTGGTCCGGTCTGCGTTCCTCAGGGGAAGAGCGCGGGCGCCTTTCCGCGAGCAGCGGCTGGTAATCGAGTCTCAATTTTACTCGCCGTTTTTATCTCCTTGCACATTTTTTATCATACGTTTTTTTACAACACTTGTTTATATATCTTAGTTTTATTTCTAGTTTTAGTTAGTATGTTAGCCCACTTATGTAAAGCGCTTTTGAATATCTTCATAGTGTTAGTACTATATAAGTGTATTTCTTTTATTTTTTCCCTGATTTTTACCCTTACCTCGTTAATGTTTTGCCACCTTGGACAACTTTTCTTTGGAGGTTTCGGTTGAATGAAAAGGTTCCACAATAACTGTTTTGTCATTCTTCACCTTCACAACAGATTTTGGGTTCATGTTTGAGTCGTCCCCGGGAGGCAACCTTGGTTTTGAGCCCGACATGAAATTGTCTCATGAAATGGTGATGATTATGGGAGGAACAATGGAGTCTCCTTCTTTCAGGTATCGTCAAATCGAAAACCACAGATTTCACCTTCCACGAATACTTGACAATGCTGTCATAGTGACGGCGAAACGTCTTTCGCTAGTCCTTCTTTTAAGAGGTTTCTCAAAAACGTCCCTAATAAGAATACATGAATATTATTCTGAAATGCCGAATTATTAAAACCAGAAGCTTTGCTCGTACTAGTCAGTTTAAGAAATTCCGCTGACCAGTATGATTCGGAGCTCCGTGTGCGTAAAGGAACTAGATTTTGGTGGACTATCGAGCTTGTTCTTGGTTTGCTTTTTTCGTTTTCTGCGTTTTCACGTTGTGAAAGGTTTGCCATATCCCATAGTCATGTAATTAAATCAAAACAAGCGGACAGCTTAATATAATTATATCAAGGCTGATAAGCGTATACTGAAGTTTCATTACTTCTTTGTACGCCTAATTAACCTTGATACATAAGCTGTACACTTGTTTTGATTTTAATTACATGGCTATGACTGAAATAAAAACGAAATTTTGTAAATCTTTCCTAGTTGTAATGCACCCAAATTTGGTTTCACAATATTCGGTCCCGTCTTGTTTATTTTTCTGATCTAGTTTTGTTCCGTACAGAGATTAGAAAAGTTGTAGAGAAAATTATTTTCTTTCTCTGATGGCCCTATGTATTTTATTCTAGATGGTTCATGGATCTCTGTGTGAAAGCCTATCTCACAGTCAGGTACGTTTGACATCTCTGGAAAAATTGTTCCTCTCTATTTTTATCTTCTCTGTGGCTTTGTAAGGATGCCAACATTTCTCATTGCAAGATCAGTGTAAACTGTTGTTTTCCCCTCCTGACAGACCTTACCAGGAAGCAATCGTTTCCCTTGTAGCGCTGATGTTGGACACTGGTCTGCCGTGTTTCCGGGGGGAGACACTTAAGAGACTCAGGTGATTACTTTGGCAAGATGAGACTTCTCCATTTAAACTTGTAAAAATAGCTTTAGTAGTAAAACGGACAACGCAACTTGTGAGTGCAATTGAATGTGAGAGGACAAGTGTATTTACCTTGACTAAATGTATTTCCCGTAACTCAGTTGTGACGGGCGGCTCTTGTGTTCTTGGCAGCTTTGGCTTAATGTTGAACTTTGTTTCTGTTTTATTTTTTACATCAGAGCGAGATTTAGCCCGGCGCAGAGCGAGCGAGAAGCCGCCGCCTACATGGCGAAGGTTATCCGGGACTCCTACTTGAATTACAGGTAAGGAAGCTAAGGACTATCATGGCGGAACCCAGAGTTGTCTTGAAGGATGAGAGCAGGGGAGGAGTTTTATTGAATTCTTATTATCCCCTCTAAAGAGGGAAGTGCGGTGGCCACGTGGTTAGTGCGCTCATCTCTGGATCGAGCGGTCCGGGTTCAAGCCCTGGCCGGGGACATTGCTT